TCAAAAATAAACACGTAAAAAAAATAAAAAATAAAAATGTTTGAAAACAATGTTTTACAAAATTTTTTTAATGTTTATTCATTATTTTTGAGAGAGAGAGAGAGAGAGACAGAGCACGAGCAGGGAAGGGGCAGAGAGAGAGGAAGAGACAGAATTTGAAGCAGGCCCCAGGCTCTGTCAACACAGAACCTGACACGGGGCTCAAACTCAGAGACCGTGAGATCATGACCTGAGCCAAAGTCAGATGCTTACCCAATGGAGCCACCCAGGCACCCCGAAAACAATGCTTTAAAAACAAAGCTTTCGAAGAGAAAAAGTTCTCTTACACACACACACAAAACTACATCTCTAACTCCAATCCATCATTCCAAAAGTAATTCAACTGGCCACAAAGAACACTTTGGATGAACTATCAGAATAATCATGTCTACTAGGAACGCCACAGTTGCTAAATAGCAAAAAAGTAATTATGACCAATTAGGAGCCAAAATCCCTACCATCCACTCCAGTAGTCAAGTACAAAAGGGCAAATCTAGCTAACCATTCATTGGGTGGAAACTATGCACCACATTCTTTTTTCAGGGGACAAGCACAGATGCTGCATGGTGCCTCAAGACTCCTGCTACGTAGAATGATCTCATCTCATCTCAGTGGTGTTATGAAGGATGTACTTCTTCTCTTAGAATTTGAAGACCAAAGGATATTGACCTTAGTAATAGAAGACCTGAAACTGACCTCAGTCCATCCAACTTATTGAATGATAAGGGACACATTTTCATCATCTAAGTCAGCATTCTGAAGCAAACACTTCCAGTGTATCAAAAAGACCCAATATGAAAACGATAAAGTAATACACAGGAAAACACTCTATTTCAGAAAACAAAGGTTAATAATAAATAATTGACAATTTGACTATTTCTAAACTTTTCTATGTTATGTTTTACGGCACTTGTACCTTTGAAAAGCATGCTTTATAAAAACTCGGCCTTCTGCTAATACGTGATGAACAGGGTACTCATTACAGAAGGTACAACAGACTGTTCAAGACGGGAAGAGGGCAACTGCCTCCATCCTCAGGCCACTATCGACTCACAGAGCTCTGTGGAAGGGACAGAGGACCCAGGTGAGAAGAAACAGGACAGGCAAGAGGACAACAAGGAGATGGGATAGGCAGGGTGCAGTGTGACAGGAAAAGAACCTCTAACATAGTGTTTCTCGACTGGTGGTGATGCCCAATGTCCCCCAATCCCTGGGGGACACTGGGAATGTCTGGAGACATTTTTGGTTGTTACCACTGAGAAAGAGGGCAGCTACTGACATGTGGTGGAGTAGTGGCAAGGGATGCTGCTCAACAACCTATAATGCAAAGGACAGCCCCCAGCAAAAAGGAATTATCCAGCCCAGAATGTTAATAGTGCTGAGACTCAGAAACTCTGTTCTGAGAGAAAGCAGAGAAAGGAGGGGTGCCGAGGGAGCTCCACTCCCAGAAGCACACCGTAGTGAGGGTGCCTGAAAAAAAGGGAAATAGTTTCAGCCTAATCTGCTAACGCAGTAGTCAGGGCAGCGTGGTTAGAGTGGTCAAGCTTCTCTACTCATCTTCTGAAGAGTCTTAAACTATCCTTGAAAAATAAAAGTCAAAAAAGGACAGCCACCAACAAATGAAAATAGAGAATTTGTTGCTAGTAGGCCTGCCTCACAAGAAATACTAAAGAAGTCCTGTAAGCTAAAAAGAAGTGATTTTAACCCAGTGACAATCTCCACGGGGAGAAATAAATATAACTGGAAATGATAATATAAATGTGTAAATATGAAAGACTATATGTTTTTCTCTTATTACTTTAAAAGACAAGCCTGGATATCATTTTATCACTGTCTTCTTGGGTTTACAACACAAGTAAGGAAGTAAAAACGAAGCCATCCTGGAGAACAGTTGTTATATTTTACCAGAATTAAATTAGTATTAATCTAAAGAAGACTGGGATGAGATGCATACTAAAAACCCTAACAACCAGTAAGGAAATAACTTTTTTAAAAAATCAGTTAACAGAAGAGTTAAAGTGGCACACTATAAAATACTTGTTGAGACAAAAAAGGCAGTAAAGGAGAAATAGAAAAGAGTAAGACATATTGGGGAGAAAAGTAAAATCGTAGATATAAATCCAACCATATCAATAATTGCATTAAATGTGAATGAATTAAACTCTTCAAAAGGCAGAGACTCAATTAAAAAGGGAAGATCCAACTACATGTTGTCTACAAGAGACACATTTTAAAACTCATAAACAGCAATTGAAGTAAAAGGACAGAAACAGCATAACATGCAAACAGTTACCAAAAGACAGCTAAAGAGCTGTCACATCACACAAAATAGACTTAAGGAACAGGAAATATTACTAAAGATAAAGAGGGGCGTTTCATGATAAAAAGATCAACACATCAGGAACAAAGAACAATTACAAGCGTGCACATACCTAACACCTGAACCCCTCAACATACACAAAGGAAAAAGTAACAGAACTGAAAGTAGCAGATCACTCAACAACTACAGTTAAATATTAAAATATTTCACTGTCAATAACAAAACTAGCCATGATGTCAGGAAAGGTATGTAAGACTTGAATAAGACTATTTATTAACTAAGTTGACTTAATGGACATTTACAGAACTCCACCTTATGAAAGCAGAGTATTATTCAAGTACACAAAGAACATTCTCCAAAACAGAAAACATACTAAACCATATAAAAAAAAAATTTTTTTTTAAGATTTATTCATTTTTTACAGAGACAGAGCATGAGTGGGGGAGGAGTAGAGAGAGAGGGAGACACAGTATCCGAAGCAGGCTCCAGGCTCCAAGCTGCCAACACAGAGCCCGACACGAGCTCGAACCCACGCACTGTGAGATCATGACCTGAGCCGAAGTCAGACGCTCAACCAACTGAGCCACCCAGGCACCCCAACATGCTAAACCATAAATAAATAACAGTGAATTCATTTAAAACATGTTCTTTAAGACAAAATTGAATTACGAGTTATCTAGGAAAACCTAAATATTTCAAATTAACCAACACACTTTAAAAAACAAACAAAAACCATGCAACAAAGAAAAAAAAAAACACAAAAGAAATGAGAAAATAGGTGAAACTGAATAAAAACTTGGGCAAGAGATTTAAGCAGACATTTCACCAAAGATCCACAAAGGGCTAATGAACACATGAAAAGATGTTCAACATTTTTAGTCATTAAAGAAATGCAAGTAAAATCCACACTGAGATACCACTACGCTCCCACCAGAATGACTAGACTGATGACATACCACGTATTGGTGTTGGTATAGAGAACTGGTAGGAATGGCAGATGGAAAGTAAATACCTACTTTCCAAACAACCCAGCAATTTCACTAAGTATCCAACCAAGATAAATAAAAACAAATAAATAAAATAATAAATAAATAAAAACAAACGTCCACAGATAGACACAATAGCCCAAAACTGAAGCAACTCAAATGTCCATCAACTGGTGATACATGTAATGGAGGATTACTCCACTTTAAGAGAATAAATAAATCTCTATGACACAGGTGCATCTCAAAAATATTATGCTAAATGAAACAAGCCAAAAACAAAAGATTACTTATTAGGATTCCATTTATATGACATTTCTAAAAAAGTTAAATCTAGAGATGAAAGCTGATTAGTGACTGCCTCAGAATAGAAACAAAAGCAGATTTAACTACAGACAAGAGGGAACTTTCTGGGTGAAGAAACTATTCTAGAACTAGATTATGGTGATGGTTGCACCAATCCACAAAGTTACTAAAAAAACCAAATTGTATACTTACAATCATGTATTTTATGATATGTAAATTACATCTCAACAGTGTTGACAAAAAAGTTAACAACACATGGGGGAAGAGACCACTCATGTTTTTCATTATGCTATCCAAAATGCCTTGCTTAGTTTATGGCACATAGCAGGCACTCAAATATTTTGAGTTATAAAAAAAAAAAAAAAATTGTGGAGCATTTCCCTGTCAATTTGACAACTCCTGACTAGTTACTGCATGCCAGATACTACTCCAGCCAATGTGGACCATTGAGGAATAAAGTAAACACGATCCTTGGTACTTCTGAATGCATAAATTTAATGACATGAGATGAATGAGTAAGAAAGGAAAGCAGTGAGGTACCACATAGAAAAAAAAAACAGGGTAGGGTGATAAGCATGTCTGACAGGCTTTTGTAGGTTAGGTGGTCTGAGAAGAATCTGAAAGGAGGTGGTCATAAAGGCTCAGGCAAAAATGTTCCTGGACATGTGAAGATGAGGAGAAAGACCATCCCAGATAAAGAGTGTCAGTGGCTTGGCAGGTTAAAGGTACGGAAAGCTGGCAGAACAGCTGGCCATTCTGGGATGGGATGGGAGGAGTCAAGAGTACCATCAAGGTGCCACACTGGGCGGGGTCTCCCAAGGTAGGGCAACAAATTTAGGTTTCATTTCAAGCATCACTGAATACTAAGTTTTATGAAACGTGTATACCATCTCCCCTATAAAAATCTTTTCAATAAAGACCTCTACGATTCTTTAGTAAATTACAGATCTGAGTAATAGCTAATGCTGATTGCTTCTCTGTTATCACAGGTTTGGGTTTAAGATATTAACACCTGGCAGACTGAGTACCTTGTATACTTCATTTCAATTCTCGATTACCTTATAACAACAGTGAGAAGGTCTAACATTTCCTGTTTACCAATTATTTCCCCAAAGCATTAACAGATTCAAATGTCTTGTAGATAATAGGCTTTCCTCCTTGACATGCTGAATTCTGTGCCTCCTAACATTTATTATGGAACGTTTTACTAATTTTATTCCTGCAGCAGTTTAATGTTTTGCTGTTCCCAAATCATGCCATCTGTTTTCCCTAAGGTCTATTTTTAAAAAGTTAAAAAGCATTGGCATTTCAGACATTCTAGCATCTTTCGAAACACACAGGAAGGAGCTTACTTCTCCGGCATAATAAAGTGCAGCAAGGACCAGAGCTCTTTGAGGGAATTCTGCAGAGGGGTCCCCGTAATCAGGAGCCTATGGTGGGACTTGAAATCAATCAGAGTTTTATACAATAAAGAGTCATCATTCTTCAACCGATGGGCTTCATCCACTCCCAGAAAGGCCCAGTTAATACTGCCCAGCACAGTCTAAAGTAAAAACAAAACAGAACGAGCCACCAGGTCAGAAGGAAACCCAAAGTACTTTCAAGTGTTAATTATCTCTGTACAAATGCCATCACAAAGGTATACACAGAAACATTTAATCTTCACGGACTTAAAATTGTATTAGGACTCTTCTGTTTAGTCTGTGTTTTGCCAGACTAGTGTCTACTCGAAAGAGCACACCACCATCCAAAAGGTTTTGGGGGAGAGGGGGAATCTCTTATGCCACGTACTGCTGCATGCCCCATGGCAAGAACACAGAAATTGGTATGCTGGGCAAAAATGATACAGAAACAAAAACTGTGATTTTGCAGTCTCTCCTTAATTAAGATTCTCCTCTGCCTATTCTCCACCCCAACCCTGAAGCACAGAAACAACAAAAGCCACCAAATTGAACTTATTTACACTTATCTCCAGTGGGACCACCTGCCACATACATTTCTTAGTAATTGTAGAAAAGAGAGCATATGAAGAACTTCATTTTTACGTCCTCCTCACAGAGACCATTCACATCATCTGTTGTGGAGAAATTCCTTTACGATGATATGATGGGAAATGCCTGGGATGGCAATCAAGCCCAGGTTCCAATGGCTGACTAGAATCTCAGGTAAGTTACTGGCTTCAATACCCTTTCATCCTACTATTTAATTCAATTGGACTAAGCGATCTAAAGTCCCATTCAACTGTAAGGTTCTGATTTTTATTTATAAGCTCAGTATTCTTTGTGGATTTTTGTTTGTTCACTTGTCTGTTTTTCACTAAATAAAGAAAAGCAACATGGCAAGCGGGAAGCACAGAGCCCACCATTTGGACAAGTCACACTACAAAATTACACACCTTATCTTTTAAGAGAATCTCATATGTTGTTATAAGTGCATTGAACTTCAGCCTTTTAGTCTGAGAATGAATCCATTCATATTCCCGTATCTAGAAGAGAAATCAGTAATTAAGATACAATTTCAACTTTTACCTTTCTTATCACCAGCAGTCTTGTGACAGATGCATAGAAACATGCCAAATAAAAAAACTGATTAGAATTTAATGAATATTTTATACATTCTAAATTGACTGAAGCAACCAAACTATAGAGCAGTAAAAGAATTAAAAGATCACTGAGCAGCAGAAACTTTACTGCCAGAACTCAAATAACCTATCACTTCCCCCTGCCCCCATCCCAATACATCTGACAAAACTGACAAAAAAATGCATTCCACCTGCAATTAAACCCTGGTGACTTGAACTGATCTAGCAACCTCCCAGAATGTGAATTTTCTTAAGGAATATTTTATTATTCTTTGCTCTTTGGTAGTGCAATACTTTTATTAACAAATAGAACAATTCCCAACCTCTGGCTTGGTCAGAAATTTCATTAATCTAGAGCAGAAAGATGTGGCCTCCAAGAAAAAGGAAAAGGAAGGTTACAGGATGAAAATGTAAAATGCATGAAAATAATGTTAATGTAAAGGAACACAAAAACTAACACATTCATACTTCAGTGTGACCGGACACACAGCAGGCACAATGGCCCATCATACTGCAGTGTGACCGGGAGTCTGGCAGGCACATGGGCCATCATACTGCAATGTGATCGGCCGCCCAGCAGGCACGATGGCCCATAACAAGGCTCCTGTAGTTTGGCTGTCAAGTTGGGGACCGGGAAACAGGACAAGGAGTGCGTGCAGGTAATCACCACCAAGTGGGAAGAGCAAAGAAAAGGAGCATGAGAGTCCACATAGAAAATTTCCCTGACTCGGGGCGCCTGAGTGGCTCAGTCAGTTGAGCATCCGATTCTGGCTCAGGTCACGATCTCACAGTTCGTGAGTTCGAGCCCTGCATTGGGCTCTGTGCTGACAGCTTGAAGCCCGGAGCCTGCTTCAGATCCTGTGTCTCCCTCTCTCTCTGACCCTCCCCCACTCGCACTCGGGTCTCTCTCTCTCTCAAAAATAAATAAACGTTAAAAAAATTTAAGAAAAGAAGATTTCCCTGACTCCACAATTTTCAGAGTTCACTTTGTCTTCACCTTTGAATGCAATGCTTGAAGCCATTTTGCATCATCTAGGAAGTGTTTTTCTTTTATAATGGTTAACAAATAGATTAGCAAAGCTAAGAACTGCTTAGAAACTCAAAATTAGAGCAGGGAAATCTGCAAATCTACCCGGTTCAGGTTAGACGACTTGAATGAAAACATTTAACAAAAATAAGTTTCAATCGGTATAATATATAACATATCTCTCAAAAGTTTGAGAATTCCTGATGGCTTTCTCTTGGGATAAGCAATCTCCCAGAAACAGTTTTCTCTAACACACAGTAATGAAAGAGCAAAGGTCTGGGACCAGACACATCTCTGTCCCAACCCCAGCTCTGCCACTTTGTAGCTGGCCTGTGGACAAGTGTTAAACTCTGAATCCACTATCATGAGGACTATCATGAGGATTACAGGTAATATACCTGTAAAAGGCACCCAGCACAGACAAGCCCTCACACACAACAGGTGCTTTTAAAAAAATTACTCATAATCAAGAAAAGAACTGCTAAACAGAGATCAACTCAAGCCTCTCTGTTCTAAGTTCCCTATGCTCAAGTTAAGGTTGAAAACAGACAAATAATTCTCATTTCTATAGCCCCAGCAAAGTCCATTGTCCTTTCTCATTATTCCTACCTTACTAAGTTATGCAACCTCACCATTTTAAAAGGCTGGGAAACAAACTCTAAGAACTTGATCATTTTTAGTAGTATCTCTCTGTTCAAACAGCAAAAATAATATTAACATTCCACAGGGTATTAACTCCATCTTATAATCCATTATAAATAAAATAGTCTTAGAAATATAAGACAAAGAGAAGAAAAACTTAATACTGCAATCCAACTAAAACAAATTCCCATTCACATACTGCTATTGCTTTCCTTTAATATAGTAAGCATATTTTAAAGAATATGTGAGTTGCATTTTTGTGATACATAAATCTCCCAACAGTGGGGGCACATTACAGTGTCGGAATCATAATGTTACTAAAGACTATAATGGTTTTAGGTCAATTTCCAAAATACATTTATAACACAGATTCTATCCCAATTCTTTTTGTTTACACACCGTATTTCTGCTCATCAGGTCACCTATGTAAACCACTACGTTAATCTCTGGTGCCCAGATTTCAAACTCCCTCTGCCATGAGGTGAGGGTGGATAAAGGGACGACTATAAGAAAGGGGCCATACAGCTGGTGTTGGTGGAACAGGTAGGAGAGGAATGATATGGTCTGGATGGTCTTTCCTAGGCCCATTTCATCAGCAAGGATTACACTGTTACTTCTGCAGGAAGAGAAAAATAAAAACAAAACAAAACAAAACCATTAGTACATGTAAACACACACATACACACACACACACAAACCAGCATGTGCACAAACAGCAAGGACACCAATGACTCCCAATTCACCAAGCAAGGCACTGGTTACCAGCCTCAACTGTATTTCCTTTGTAGTAGAAACTACAAAATAGCAGAAGAACAAGTGATCTAAGTACAATCAAGCTTTGGAAGAGCTTATTCAGACTATGTTCTTTACCTTGCATTTTGTTCCTTTACATCTACCCCTTGTAACACAGAAGGCAGGTTTTGTTTTATTGGGGTATCCAAGAACATGACCTTGGGCTCCACCATTACAGAAAGCAGGGGGGCAAACTGGCTATCCCAACTGCTGGTGAACCCTACAGCCTGATGGCCACGTGCCTTTGCTCAAATCACCCACCCACTCCACTGCATGCCGCTGGGTTGTTTAATGCTACATACACTCCTCCCCAGGCCTATGTGCTGCAGATCTGGAGCTTGTTGTTGTTGTTGTTGTTTAATTTTTTTTTTTTTTAACGTTTATTTATTTTTGAGACAGAGAGAGACAGAGCATGAACGGGGGAGGCGCAGAGAGAGAGGGAGACACAGAATCAGAAGCAGGCTCCAGGCTCTGAGCCATCAGCCCAGAGCCTGACGCGGGGCTCGAACTCACGGACCGTGAGATCGTGTCCTGAGCTGAAGTCGGACGCTTAACCGACTGAGCCACCCAGGCGCCCCAGAAGCTTGTTTTAAATACAGCACAGTCTACAGCAGAGACAGGCTGCAAATCAGATTTCTGAATCCACCCTACACCTACCAAATCAGAACAATCAGTACAAATCAGTACAGCTCAAAGAGCTGTACTTTTAACAGACACTTCTGGATATTCTGATGCAGGTGTATTCCTTGGACCACACTTTGAGAAACACTGCTCTAGGAGACAGTCTGGATATTTTACCAGGATACTAACAGGAGAGGATTGTTCAGCTAGAAGAAAAACACTTGAAGAAATGGCCAGAGTAGGAAAGTATGTTCAGGAAATAGAAAACAGCCCGTTTGGCAGGGAATTAGAAATATATACATGGCAAAAGGCTGCAAACATTAAGAGTTTCTAGAAAAATCAGGCCATTAAAGGTTTATACATGTATAACAAATGTTTAATCAATAACCCAGAAAGAACTAAAAATAATAGACAAATTACAAAGAACAGAATGGATTAGAAATACAAGACATTTAATTTACCAAGAAGAGACTGAATTTTTAAAAATACATTCCGTGTTCCACAGAATGGCTAGTTTTATGGGAAAAGAAAAGGACAAAGGCAAATATACTGGGGCAGGGGAGAAGGAAGAGGCCATACCTCTCTATAAATCTAAATCTAAATCTAAATCTCTATAATCTAAATCTCTATAATTTATGCACTATTCAGATATGTTATGTTCCTTTGTGTAATTTCCCCCCTATTTCTCTCACCTTTCCACGCTAGTAGGGAGGAAACAGGATTTTCTCCAACATTTCCTCTCCCTAACAAACTGCCATTGTTCATACACTGAAAGAGATTTGAATGGATTTCCCTGTTTTTCTAAAACTAGGCCAAAACAGCATATTACTTAATGTAAGGTTCCTGTGACCAGGGCCTAACAACTGTTTGGGTCCTCTTCAGCACACGGTGTGACAGTGATGGTCGTGACATGACTGCACATGACATCTTTGTGGCTAAGACCCTTCAAATACAAAATGAGAGGGCTGGATCACACAACCTCTTGAGGTTCCACCTAGCTTTAGAACTATCTTCTAGGAACATGAGATCTCCCTGTTCTCTGAAACAAAACCAGTTTTTACGCAATTTAGAATAGTTCTATCAGACTTACATCCTTAGTCACACAAACTGAAGCTCCCCAAGGGCTCTAATGTTCATAACTGAATGCTAGATGCTGTATTAGATTTTATAGGACAAAGAATATAGGTAGTTTCATTGGGAAGCAGGCATTCTAAATGTACCTCTAACCAGAAACCACTTTTTGGCATTGAGAAAACCAGTTCACATGGTTTTATTTCCAGGCTGCAGTTCAATTCGGAAACAAGAATTTTTGCCTTACTGTAAAACACTGAAGCACTTAAGAATTGCATGTGGGGGAAGGAGTTTGTAGGTAAGCATGAAAGATCCTTCCCACACTGTATGCCCTGGGAGGACAGGGAAACTAGGTCTGTCTTGGTTCACTGTCCAAACTGTCCAGGCCTAGATGGGGCCTGACACATAGTAATCAGAGACTACTTAGATTTGCAATTGATCTGATGAACAACATCCATGAGTACTGCCTCCAAGCACCTTTAAACCTCATATGCTTTCATCGTCACACCTTTCCTTTTCAAAATTAAGGTGGTTTTGTTACAAAAAGTAAGGACAATTTTATAGGTTCAACCATCAGAGACCTTCCTCTACATGGGATAGCATGTACAGCAACCTTAGGAGGGAGGGGGGTGTTTCACACTATTCTTCAGCACTACCACAAGAAATGAAGGGAAAGGTTTCCCTGGCCTAGAAGGAAAATGAATGGAAAACAGACATCTTCTTTCTTCCCGAGAAAAACGACTTCCACATCACAGATGTGGGCAAATTAACTTGCGACTTATATTCACACTCATAAACAACATGTTATGACATAGGTTTCTGGCTAGGACAAATTATCCCCAAATAACTAATTAACAAAGTATTCTTTACTTCAGATTAAAATGGTATTACACATACATATGAACTCCTACAAAAGCCTTCTCTCAATCATATATTTTTGTTTCTATAATACACAACAGAAATAATTATTTGCACTTAAAAATAAAGAAGCCAAAAACGGTACAGAGAATTTCAAACCTATTTTCTACCTACTTGCACCAGGAATGAGCAAGCCAGTTGAGACCTTCTAGCTGATAATCACGAAGCTCCAGATTCTCCCCTCCTAAATATGCTGGCTGTTTCTTTAAAGCCACAAATCGTGGTCTCTGCTTCAAGGCCTGAAAAACAAAAAAATTCACAAAGCCCACGTCTGAAAAAGACTTTCTTCCTGTTCCCATGTTAAAATGCTATCTATGGGGCGCCTGGGTGGCGCAGTCGGTTAAGCGTCCGACTTCAGCCAGGTCACGATCTCGTGGTCCGTGAGTTCGAGCCCCGCGTCAGGCTCTGGGCTGATGGCTCGGAGCCTGGAGCCTGTTTCCGATTCTGTGTCTCCCTCTCTCTCTGCCCCTCCCCCGTTCATGCTCTGTCTCTCTCTGTCCCAAAAATAAATAAAAAACGTTGAAAAAAAAAATTTAAAAAAAAATGCTATCTATGATTTATGTGCTCTGAACTAAAGCACCGAAGTTTAAATTTCACATCTGAATCACCAACCTCACCTACCCCACCGCACCCACACCTCCTTTCATTGAGGTCTGTACTCCCAAAGCCAGATGTATCCTGAAATAGTCTTTGGTTAACGTGCTCCTGTCCTGAAGTCAGTCTGTGAACATCCTTACACAGCACTAATTTTACATCATCTCTATCATATGGCAGGGAGTGCTCCATTTTCATCTTTATAATCTCATTCTAAACAGTACAAAACAAGACCACTGGGAAAGTCTGTATATGCCAAACACAGCAGAAGGTCACCATGAGAACATCTGCAAATTCCAAAATGCCAACCCCCTGACCTTGAACCCCCCCAAGTGTGTGAGTTTGGTTTTCTAAAGGAAAGGATGTGAAGAACATCAGTTTAGTAAGGTCATGTCTCTATGCTTTGCACAGCACAAAATGTGGATTCTGTGACTAAATCCATTTGGGAAACAATGTAACACAAGTTACATAAATTTCATTACTGTAACTTTTCAAAGTCTAAAACGCTTGTCCATATTGTGAATTTACAGAAAAACTTCATTTAGGAATGCTTCCCAAAGTTCTTTGGCCACAAAGTCTTTTCATAGTGAGCATTTCTCTGAAAATTAGGGCTCTATGGAATCAGCACCCTAGTACATGATGTATCGCCCTAACAGTGTACTTGGTTAAGGTGATTACTGACCATCTCACCTCTCCTCTGTGAGCACCCAGCAGTGAACAGAATCTGAATCCTCACACTCAGCCACCGAGCCCCACGTCCACTTCTGCCACGGCTCCCCCAGAGCTTCCTCCCCTCCAATCCTTGCATCCCACAGTGACTTCCCTTGTCCGCACACTGTGGTTCCCTCACGGACTTCCAGGGCATGTTTCTGGCTGGACCTTCTGGCTTTCGTAACTACACACTGCCATTACATGAAGTTTTCCGAATACAACACTGTTTCCATCATGCTGCTCTCTCTCAGGGAGGTAGGCGTGTCCATACCCACCAGATAAAGCCAGCGTTACCCTCCAAGGTATTCAAGACACGCACACTCGGACCTAAGTGCACTTGCCAATAACACCTTCCTCTCTTCCAGCCCCAAGACCATCTTTCTCCTGATGCCTTTCAGGGGAGGGCAATAACCTGGGCCCCCTTCCATCTGTCTATCCAGCACCAACCCATTCTTCAAGAACCAGGGCAATTCAAGCAGTGCAATCTCTTTAACCCTTAAAACCTCCTCATGGACTACTGGAGCTCAGTGACTCCTGCCTCTGTACTTCTCTGACCACAGTTTGTTTTTACACTCACTGCCCCCTCAAATACACACTGCATTCCACAGATGGAGGTCTGGTGCCATGAACTGGAGGTCAACTCCTCAGAGACAGAGCCCATGTCTTACACAGACTTCTTCTGCCAAGGACCCAAGCACACCATTTTACATGTGGAATGAATTCCAAAAAAGGGAAAGGATTTATGCAAACAATCAAGCAAATAAAAAGCCTATATGTTTGGTTTCTAACTTAGAATTCAGAGCTTCTCCCCTTTCCCATCACATTTCTTTATTTTATTTAAGTTTATTTATTTTGAGAGAGAGAGAGAATGTATGAGCTGGGGTGATTGAGGGGCAGAGACAGGGAGAGAGAGAAAATCCCAAATAGGCTCCATGCTATCAGTGCAGAGCCTGACACAGGGCTTGGACTCACAAACCATGAGATCATGACCTGAGCTGAAATCAGATGCTCAACCAACTGAACCACCAGTCGCTCAACCATCAGTCACTCAACCGACTGAATCACCCAGGCGCCCCACCATACAATGTCACGTCTCTTGAAAGTGCTTAAATTCTTTCAAATATTACAATATCTCTAATTAGACATATCCAGTTCCGTGAATTTTAAGATTAAAGAGGTCAGCGAAGCCATTATACAATTCATCTTCTTCTGTTTTAATATTTTCCTTTGATGTCAAGGTTAATTCATCTTTCACATCAAAATGGGAATTATCATTTACTTTTGTACATTTTCTCTTCCCAATATCTATGTGATCAACCCTTCCCACCAATACATCTTTCCCCCGAAAAACCAAAAGCCAGCCATCACCACACCTTGCATTCTCTCGTCGGGATGGTTTTTGAGTTGTTCCGACTATGGAAGCTGTCAATACAGCTCTGGAACTTCTTTCCAATCAAGGCTTCATCTTCCCAGCTGCACTCTGAATAGGGCAGTCCCATCCATTTGCATAGATATTCAGGTTCATTTGAAGGTGCCGGCTTCCGACTGTGAGCTGTTTGGTATACAAAAATTAGTAGATTAGCAACTGTCAATCAAAGAAGGGGAGTGTCACTGTTTTACACATAACCATTGAAACACCAAGTGGCAAAACTAAATACACTGCAAAACCTGAACTGCTCTTAGATGCTCACTAACATTTTGTTAACCAAATCTTTTGCTTACCTGGAAAATCTGACTGACCCAATGTAGATTTGCTTGTCTTCACGGCTACACAAAAGGAAAATACGACAGAAAAGTTATCACTATAATCAAGGAAAGAATGACATTTTAGGTCCTATGAATAAGAATACAAATATACTCTATAATCTGACATCATTTAAAAAAAAAAAAAGGAATACCTGTCTTGCTCTCACAGCCCTGAGTAGCTACAACCCCATTTATGTTCCCCTTTACAACAAAACTCCCCAGGAGAGTTGTTTTTACTCACGGTGTCCCCCTCATTCTCTCTTGAAGCCACCCCAATCAGGCCTCATCCCCACTACTCCACAGATCCTGAACCAGCCCAAGTTCAAGGATCAAGTCTCAGTCCTCCTTCCCCCCAGAGCATCATGCTCTCAGCCCCCCTCCTCTCTCACCAGACTTTATTTCTCTTCTCCTGTGGCTTCTCTGTAACTTCCAAAACCTGGAATGCTCTCAAACTTCCTAGTCTCACGAGGTATACTATTTCTGATAATCTCAGTAAATCTTAGGCTTTAAATACTATCTACATACTGATAAATTCCCAAATATAAATCTCCAGCGCAGACTGAGAGTTCTAAACTCCAAGCTCACATATGCTACATACAACCTTCACGATACTCCCCAATTAGTCAACCAAGAAGAATAGCAAACTTACAAATATCAAACCCAGCTCTTGATTTCCACTCCAAGCCAGTTCTTCCCTTAGCCTTTCCATTTCAGTAAATGGTACCTCTGTTCTATTTGCCTGGGTCATAAGTCTTGGCATCGTACTTGACACCGCCTTCTCTCATCTCCCATGTCCAAATTTACCAGCAAATCTTGTTAACTCTTCCTTCAAAATCAATCTAGATAGTCGTGTATTCTCTTGCCTTTTTTCCCCTACATCTATTCTCTACAAGTAAATCTACAAAATGCATTTTTAAATTTACAATACCCCAAAACCAAAAGCCATTATTTGCAGAGCTCAAACACTGCTAAAATAAGTTTCCATGTGCTCACCGATTATTCTTTCGACTATCTGATACTGTTTGTTCAACTCTGAGGCCAGCTCTTGTTGGCAGTTGAAATATTCCACATCTTCAGGAGAGACTTTTCCTAACCTAGACAGAAGAAAAGAAAAATACATTCCAATTAGATTTGGGAGATCCATACAAATCTATCAAAGCAAAGTCTAAGAAGAGCAAAGGAAACTGAGCCTTTACTTCCATCTGTCCCTTTAGCAATCCTTTACTAGTAATTAAGCCAGAGATTTTATAAAAAACATACACTTTTAGGAAACCTTAGACTCATAAAACATACCAGTTGTTCCTTCTTTATAAAGAAACCTAAAAATAATTACTTTGTGTAATAAATTCCAATATCTGAACAGAACAGGACCATAAAACTGTCTTCCAGATTTAAAAGGAAACATGCCTTTTTCATATAGGTATGTGCTTTGGGAGAGATTAAATGTAGCTTTTACACAAAGCTAGTTATTCTTTGGACTAAAATTCTATAGAAGGACAATACTAGCAAGCTGAAATGAACTATTACTGTACTTCCGAGGATTTTAAATTTGTAATTGCTTTACAACCGACCCCATTCTTAGGGATACCTAAAGGAAAAGTAAGTGATTTACTGAAGAAGCACATCGTGCACAGTAGTAAAATGGGAATTAGAACCCATCTGGCCCTATTTCTAATACAAAATAACCTGATCACATTACACTGGCAGGTGTGTCTTCAGGTTTGAACCTGATCCCTCTAATTAGTCAGTTTAGGTCTGTGGGTGCTATAGGCCCCACATATTTCTCATATGCAACTTAACCACCTTCAAAGTTGTAAGTAAATTAAACTAAAAACAATGGTCTATCAGAGCTTCAGGAGTTCATCTGTTTCAGTCACATCATTTCTGCAAATTGTGAAAACCGAGATTAGTGGTAAGTGTACTGTAACCCAGACAGTTCTGGAATATTAACTCCTGACATCTAAGCCACCCCAGCGTAATAATAGGAAAATGACAGGGTGCCTAAGACTTAGCTCTGGATTTGGGCTGCCAGAGCTCCAATCCTGGGACCTCCCGGAAAAGTTGCCTTGTGCCTCACTCTCCCTATCCACAAGATGTGTACAATGGTACAAATCTCATGGGCTTATCATGAGGATAAAGAACACTGGGTGTGCAAAATGCTCCATAAGCTACTTATTATTATTATCAAACTCTGCAAAATTGGTGGCCGTATACAAAAACACACACACACACACACAC